TTCCCTCCTGCTGGCAACCCTAATTTTTCCTTGCCTCCTTCTCTTCTTCCTACCTGTTAGCCAACCTACCTACCTTTATCTGTCCTTTGTCTTCAGCTTTCCCTCCTACCCTTCCCTCTACCTGGGAAAACAATGGCCAAGTTGTGTTGTACTAGTCACCGCACTGGACTGGGACAGACTTGCAGAGGACACTTCACTTTCCCCGACACTATTTCCATGCTATTTCCCTTCTCCTGGCAGCCCCTATAGCCTCAGCTTTCCCTGTTTCCTTTTCTCTTTTCTACCAAAAAGACCAACCAAACTTTTATCTGACTCCCAAACCTCAGCTGTATTTATTTATTTACTTCAGTTATATCCTTCCATTCTCCACAGTGTGAACCCAAAGCAGCTTAAATCATTTTCCTTTCATGCATTTTATACTCAAAACCCTGTGAGGTAGGTTAGGCTGAGAGTATATGGCTGGCCTAAAGTCATCCAATGAGCTTCCACAGTAAACTGAAGATTCAAACCTGGATCTCCTAGATCGTAATCTGAATCCTTGACCACTACAGAACACTGGCTGTTGTGGGGTGGCTACTTTTGAACAGCAACAAGCAGTCAGGCCTAGCTGAGTCATGCAAACTGTGTGGTGGCAAGTTGGCTTGTGGTTACTGCCAAGCCTGGCCCTGATAAGTCCTCCCGCAAAGGCAAAACAGCCCTTTAAAGGGTCCTCCCCCCCCACTAGAAACCAAGACTTCAAGTCTGGCAAATCTGTTATGGTTGCCTAGCAACAGACACTGGGGGCATTTGTTTTTTTAAAGCTACAGGCACTGTTTTTATCATTTTGGAGAATTTTAACACAAAAGCTACAGGCACTGCTTTTATCATTTTGGAGAATTTTAACACACAACTTTTTTTTTAAGATTTCAGATTTTTCTGCAAATTTGGGGCTTTTCTCAAGTTTGTAGAAAGCTATGTCCATGGTCCCAGGCTCTGGATTTAAAATATCCACAGATAGTGCCGCACTGAGAATAAGACCTATTGATGTGGAATACTTAATTTATGGAATTCACTGCCCCAAATTGTTTTGATGAGCCTTTCCTTAGATGCCTTTTAAAAAGGGACTGAACAGAAACATGGAAAAGAGACTTATAATGGCTATTTGCAGTCTGTCTCTGAACCTTTGGTATGATTGGGAAGGCTTTTCTTATGCCTTCCTTCCACCAGTTCCCCACTCCCACCCCATGGAAGAAAGAGCTACCTTGGTGTGTATATGATTTAGATCAGGGGGGGGGAAGTCCTTCTCACAACTCAAATGAAATTCTTTCCCCCTGCCCTCCCAACTGTATTTCATTTTTTAAAAGACCTGGCAGATTCAATTATGGTTTTCCCACACAACACACGTTTGGCCTGAGAAGCCCAATTTCAGTGACTAGCAGCAAGTCCATTCAGTGCTATCATGTATAATAATATACATATCATTTTGCTTTTGCTTTTCCTTCTTAGGGATGTGGCTCCTGGCAACATCTTTAAATCCAAAATCGTATGTGCTCCGAGAAGAACGGGTACCAAAAAGATAGTGGCCAAACTCAACTCCACCCAAGTGAAAGGGATAACTGTGGAAAAGGTTATCACCATCACGGAATAGGGGCAGTTCCCAAAGCCAACGTGTGGTGGCAGCCAGAGGCTACCGCTGAGCCTTATTGACCCTGCCTGCCGCTTGGATGGTGAACCAAAACGAGAGAAAGAGACCTAACAGAATTTAAGTGGCTTAAGGGTATAGCTGTTTTGATTCTAGCTAATGGGGATTTAATAGAGATTATTCAAATCTGCTCTTCGATGTGTATAGATTTGGCAGTTTAGGATGAGTAAGAACATGTTTTGTGGAATTTGGAGTGGGCATAATATCCATGGCTTTGGCAGGGGCGGGAGGAGTTGGCTGTGTTTTGCTTTAGCGAACAATTTAAGGCTTTGTGTGAGGCTAACAACATTAGCTCCTTCTTGTCCTTCTGGTTGACGTAATGGTGGCTTTGCCAGCTGCTAATTCTGCTGTTAGCATTTGTGTCCGCAACATTCTGCTGTGTATTACAAAGCTGCATGTAGCCTGCTTTGCTTCATAGTACAAGGTATGCAACATTTGGTGCATTATGTTGTGACATTTACATGGGGCCGTTTATATTCTGCGACCATAAGTACAGCTTTAGATATTAAATGCAAAATTTTAAAAATATCAGTGTTGTGATCCCTTTTCTCATGCATGCTGTTTCCCCAGTGTCCCACACCTGGCAAGCAGGCAACCCAGCTCACAAGCTGCTTCCTTACCCACTACAGGATGCTCGTATATTAACATGTTGCCTCTCAGGCTGCCCTTTCAAGAAGAGAGGTGATAACCCAGATGTCTGGCCCTTTTCATAGTACCATTCTAAACTGGATGTTATTCGTTGCTGGCTCAATTTCAAGTAAAGTGATACAGGGATGGGGGTTTCATACGTGAATTTCCTTCCATTAAGGAGCCGTCTCTGAAGAGCTGTGGTCATTTCAAACAGTGCCGCTTCCTTCCCCCACCCTTTTCCGCCACACAATCTTTCTCGGACTTAAAAAAAATGTTCTAAGGTGAGCGCTATAACGCTAAACTGCATCTCAAGGGTGCCACTGTAGCTACAGTGCTCACCTTAGAACATTTTTTTTTAAGTCTGGGGAAGATTGCGCAGTGAAGGGTGGGGGGAAGTGGCATTGTAGGAAGTGCTGTGGACCTTATAAACAGCACACCACCGATTCAGAAGTGCAACGAAGGGGTTGAAAACAGAAAAAAAGCAGTTTCCCTCAAAAGTGGCTCAACCACGCAGGTTTGTATGAACAGGTAAATACACACATGCACAGAAATCTAGGTGAGAGCCAATCCAATGGATGTTGCTTATCCTCAGTAGGACATTGTGGTTTTGGAAGGTTGGCAGCGAACTTCTCCTGGCATCAGGTTGACTTAGGACATGGCACTTGCCCGCCCAGGCAGGCCGATGGACCGGAACGTTTGCTCAAGCCATCGCTAGCTAAAAGGTCCTCCTGTGTTGCCCCTCTCCTCATGCCTGAATCGCAGGAGCAGATCTGCAGCATGCCAAGGGGCCGATGGCCCACGTTACAAGGACCCCAGCCTGAATCAGATGGCCTTTCAGATCAGTACAACTTCTGTGAGCCCCCTTGACATATATGCCAGGTGTAGACATGCTTGGCAAAGACATGGCATTGGCATGAATTGAGCTCGTGCTCCGAAAAGCTCAACAAGAAGAATCATTGCAGCCATTGGAAACATACGAGAAGACAAAGACTGAGATGAAAATATTGATTCTTTTAATAAGTAGTTACTCAACTGAAATCAGAAAATAAGACACAAACAGCAAAAATCGAACACCAAGCTCTGTAAATACATACACTCTTTTAATTGCATAGGCGAGCAGGAACTCCAATAAATTGCTCATTAAAACACAAGAACGTCTGTCTTCCTATACTCTAGGTCCCAGCCCACTGTTCATTAAAGCCTTTGAGCTCCAGCACTCTTCAGCCTGCCAGGCTTCCAGAAAAGCCGCATCTCATCTTTAAGACACACAGTTTTATTAGAATGCAGCACATTAGCACACGGTTTGGGTGCATAACAGCACCAAGCATCCAGAGAGCACTGCCTTCTCTCTCCCAAGCAACCAGCCTAGGTTCTGCACGTAGACAAATATTTCTAAATTAAACATGGAGCTTTTGAAGGCAGGCTGTCCTGTTGGGTTCAATGAGGCTACTCACGGTGGTAAGCAGTGCACCTAGTTATGTAAACACTGGATCCCAGACACTGAGGCTATTTTGGTCTGAAGTACCTTAAGGTTACCTGACAAAGAGCAACAAAACTCAGAAGCAGCACAATCAGAAGTTTTGGTTAATATCAGGTTCATTTTGGTATTTTTTTTAAAAAAAATCTTCGGTCTGGTAGGTAACGCCTTTAAAAGAATGGTCTCTGGACCCAAATAAGGCACTTTCATTTAAACAGGGGAAGATAACATCCTGCAATGACGTTCCATCAGAATCTCAATTTATGTTTATCCCTTTGCTATTTTGCTTCCATTTCACTGCCGTTTTGTTCCCAAAAGTGCATAGAAAAAAAGAGTAGCAGTGAAGAGAGCCAACAGAAAGCCTAATTGACAAGTAGGGGAAGGATACCAGTCATAAAGGTATGCCTCAAAACTACAAGTAGAAACAGTCTCTTTCTCCCACTCCCCCATAGGCAACATCATAGTAGAAATCTGTCATCAGAAAATCCTCTCTTGGCTTAAAGAGCAATTTGCGCCTTGGCAAGGTATCCCAATATTGTCATATCATATTATATTGAAAGCACTGTGATGATATAAAGTGCTTTGTTCTCCTTACTTGACCTATAATAGCTGCTGTAATATTTTCAGCTTGGAATGCCATTAAAAGTTCGATTAGAAAAACATTTTCAACTAGAAGAGTACACCGCAACAGGTCAATTTCAAAAGGCCATTTCAAGGTCACCAAATAAATAAATAAATCAGTACTTCTCACATGAACGATACAGTTAAAAAAAAAGAGGGTAATTAGCATTTGTGTTGCTATTTCTGAATACATTACGAGCAGCAACAAATCACATCACTCTGTACTGCTTGTGCTGCCCAGTGGATACAGCAATAAAATTCAAAGTCTGATTGGCACCCGTGGAGGACAGAGTGCTGAAATCAATGTGGTTTTCCTCCTCAGACACCCAGACCACATGAGCTAAGATCACAATCAGCCCTGTGAATATTCCACATTCATTTCACACGGGAGCCATCAAACATGCACAAGCGCTAATACATTGTTTGTGGACAATCTTGACAAATGGCTTCTTTCACAAATGCAAATGGTATAAAAATACCCAAGACCCAAATATAAGCACAAAGGGAGGGTGACAGTTTCAACTTTGCCATACAACAGGGATACTGCTAACAATACTTATGGTCAATCTATCAACTCTCTTTGGCCCTAGAAGTGTATGTTAACTAACCATTCTCTGCGTAACATTCATTAAGTAGGGACAGGACATTCATAATTTTCAAAGGCCTTTACCCTGGGCCGTCACCTTCCTCCCTGTGATTTGAATTAAGCACTGATTTCTAAAGTATCTGGAGAGCTACCTTTTATCATTATTATCTTGTATTTATTTCCATTTATAAACCCTTTAAAAAAACTAGAAAATGTCATTCCCCCCCCTTTTCCTAGCTACACCACCTCCCTTGTTATCCTTTATAGCTTCAGATCCAAACAAGTATTTACCTCAGGGATGTCAGGCTGCTCGAGGCCTACACAGGTTGGGTCCAGGGTTCCAATTCTATGCCACAGTGAGATGGAGTCGTGGGTTTTCCTCCCCACATACACAGTGCCCAATTCAAACTACGAGTGCAGTGTGTGTGGAGAAGGATTCCAACCTTCCCCTCACACCATTCTCTGGACTGGAAACAATCTGGAAAGGTGCTAGTTGGCCTGTCGGGGAAACCCATGAGTGTTACCTTGAAGGACCACAATAAAGCAGGAGACAGGGAAAGAAGCTCCACCAGTTCTTTGATCTGTCCACTTTTCCCAACTGCAACAGGACAAAAAAGAATCCTCCACATCAGTGTGGAGGTGGGATGGGACAGGGAAGGGAAGGACAGAAGCAACTACAGTTCCTTCCCACTTTATTGGGGAGTTGAAAAAGGTAAACACTTTGGATTACTGCCTAATTTGATTTCAGGCTAGTGGTATTTCTCCCTTCTAAGAATATACACAGTGCTTACAAAAGCCTCTTAGTCCTCAAACGAAGAACCTTTGATAGCTTTTTAGCTTCTTCCATGAAAGACCGAAGGAGCCTTCAGCCTTTCAAGAGGCTATAGTTCCATATTCTAAATAGACTACATTTCAAAATGTTATAGATTTAAGTGCTTTAGGGAATGTATAGGCTAAAACTGAAAGGACTACTGCAGGAGGGAGGACTCGGTGGGATTTTAATCAGATCCCCACCTACCCCAATGACAGTAACACCCTTTTGCTTGATGCTGTATCACCCAAAATGTTTTTGACATTCTTTTCAGTTAGCCAGGTGAGAAGGGGGGAGAGAGAAGAAAGGCTGATGTTTGAGAAAACCAAACACAAGGCCTCCTAGTAAAGTCACACAGGTCTTTCAGTCCTGTGTTACTGCACATGTGGCAGCTGAAGTGCTAAATAGGCCTACTGGTGAACACCCATCTGATAAGCAGCTTAAGGCACAAATACATCTCCTTTGACAGAGTATAGAAGAACACCCAGCATTAAGGAAGAAGCTGAAAAACCCACTCAACATAAATGAAAACATTTCTTTCCAGACAGATACCCTCATTTTCCACGAATTTCTCAGGAATGCACGGTGTCCTTGATAGTGAGATTAATTGGTCCCCTTTGGAGGTACGAAGGAGCATTTGCTCATGGCTGTGCCATGTTAAGTGTTCATCAGCCAAGCAACAGAAATAAGCACGCTTTCCATTAGATAGCCATTTCTCAAAAAGCTGCATGGCAACTTTCAAGCTTATTTTACGGCTACAGACACTGCTTATAGCAGCACCATCAGAATTCTAAAGACTGTACCAAACAGGCAACAAACCT